AGCCTCATGTTTCATGTACTCAACCTGAACATTGCTTATTCCACAGATACTACAGAGGCTATGCCTCTGTGCTTTTTTTACTCATATTCTTCTTTCATTTGAAAACAGGTGAGGTAACTTTAAAAGCCACCAACATCTGCACATTGTATTTATTAAGAGGCTGTGTGGAAGATGTAGTCTTCAGTCAATCATACAAAGATGTGAATTCGAAGCAGGAGTATGTCATTTGGCCCCACAAACCTGCCCTGTTACTCAGTAATATCTTGGCTGACCTGATTATTCCACATCCCTGCTTATCCATGATAACCTCCTCTGCCTTAAAGAGATGCATAGTTCCTGCACACTGACCTTTTACATGTGGTAGGAAATTCAGATCCCTCCGAATTTCTGAGTTCTGCAATCTCTCACAATTTAGGTAATATGTTTCACTTTATTCTTGCTGCCAAAATGGACTAATTCACATTTCCCTCATTTTACTTCATTTGCTAGATCTTTTCCATTCACATAATCCTCTTTAGCCATTTGTAACCTACTTATACCCTCTTTATGCCCCAACTTATTTGATTTGATTTTGATTTTGAATGATATATTATTGTCACATATACCTAGGTACAGTGAAAAGTTTGTTTTGCATGCTGTACAGGCAGATCATATCGTAAGTGCATAAGGTAATAGAACAGAGCGAGGAACACAATGTTACATCTGCTGTTCCCCTTTGCCTACAGTACATGCTATTTCTTCAATTTCATTTCTCATCCAGTCTTCCAGTCACTTGTGCATTAGTATCAGTATCTCTGCTGTTTCTCCTTTGCAATCAATTATTGTATCCCATATCCTTTTGATTTTCTTTCCAACATAACTCTCCAACCATTAACCCATCCCACATGCTCACCAAGGGTTGGTGAGGCCCAAGGTAACTTCACTAACAATCATTTATCTTTTCCCCCTTTTATCAGTTCCCCTTGTAGGATTTCTCTACTTTCAATATTCAACTTGAAACAATATTGGGTGAGAGTGTAAAAATAAACTATTTATCTTCTGAACCATCCATTTGAGCCTTTCTCTCTATCACTGAAGTGATAGAAACCATAATATCTCTCTCTGTGTGCACAGTTATTGATCTCTTCTGTCAAGACAACTGCTTTGGAGATAATTAGTTGCCTTGAGAGTTCAATTTTTCTCAAACAATGAAGTAATATTGCAAGTATAACAACATCATGTATTTTTTACAAATCCCCATTAATGTACCAAAATATCTCAAAACATTTCCCAGATGTGCAATGAGAAATAGAAGCTGAATCAAAGATGGAAATATTGCAATGGAGAACAATGGCTTGATTCAGTGGCAGCTTTTCTTAAAGGAAGATTACTAGGGAAACAAAGGACTTTAGGAAGGGAATAACAGTGAGGGGCATGTACAATAGTCAGCAAAAGGCCATTCCTTCAGCAAAAGGAGATGAGAGATTGAAAGAATTTAGTGTTAGAGGAACAGAAATTTTGAAAGGCTATGGCGGGAGAAAAGGGTGATGGGATTGGTTATAAAACATATGGAGACGACAGAAATAGGCAATATCAGAGGAACGGGGACGTGAAGTCGTTTAAATAATGGATGTAAATAGTGAACTTCAGGTTTTGGGGAATGAGGAGCCAAGCTGAGCAATAAGAATATGGGTGATGGTGATTTGTGGTATAAGATAGAGGATATACAGCAACATTTACATTGAGCTGAAGTGTAGAAGATGGGGGTTGGACAGCATTTACTAGTTAGAGTGTATTGGTCTAATTAAATTTGGAACTTACAAAAGAAACTTTCATCAGCAAACTGGCAGCTAGGAAGAAACTGAAGTAAACAGTATTAACCCAATAAATAAAGCATCCTCTTGTTCTGTGACTTGAATTTTATGCGTGGATTGCAGCAGTCCTGGAATGTGCCTTCTTGAAAATAGACAGGAATGGGCAATAAATGCTGGCCTAATCAGTGACACCTATATTCTGTAAATGATCAAAATAAATCCTCTCCTCTGTTTTGTACTTTAATGGCTCTCTGTACTGTTCATTCAGTTTAATTCAGGTTGATAGAATACAAAACAGAAACATATTTTGAGAATACAGCTCTTTCATTCCTTTAACACAAGCAAAAGCACAAGCACAAACTTTATATCTGCTTTATTTAAAAAGTATCTAAATATACATTCTATCCTAATGCCTTTGATATTACTCAAACATCCCAAGGCACTGAACAAGAATATTAACAATAAAATGTTGATAGTGAGCCACATTAGGAGATATCAGGACAGATGATCAAATATTAATCAAAGAGGTAGGCCTTAAGGATTATCTTGAATGAGAAGGAAGAAGCAGAGAAGTTAGCATGTTATTGCAGTTCCTAGGGCTTTTGCAGCTGAATGCAGCGTTGTCTGAACTGGAACAATTGTAAGCAAAGAAATCTCAAACAATTGTAGGCTTGAAGAGGTTACAGGATTGAGAGAGATGAGACTGTGGAGGCAGTGGATGATGATTTCAAAATTGCAATGCAGTTCTGAAGAAGAGTCATACAAGACTCAAAACAGTAACTCTGTTTTGTTCTCCACTGAGGCTGTCAGATCTGCTGATTTCCTACAAAATTCATTGTGTTTGGTTGAAATGCTGACAGATGGGAAGTTCCTTTGGTCTGCAGCACAGGGCGTTGAGTGGATAGGATTTCGTGTGAGTTAAGGAGAGATTTCAATAAGCACAAGCGAATGCAAGATGGGAGTGCAACCAGAAAATTTAAATAGTCAAACCGTGAAGATATAAAGACACGGATAAGCCTTTTTGCATCATATAAGCTAAGGCAGGGTCAGAGTCAAGCAATGCCAAAGGTCTAATTAGGCAATGTTAGTGATGACATGGATAATTGGTGGGAAGCTCATCTCAGCATCTAATCAACCAAAACCATGTTGATGTCTGACTCAACTTCAAACAGTTGTCAGGAGGAAGGTTAGAAACAATCGTCAAGGAACAACAATTGCTTCAGGGTCTTCAGTCTCTCCAGTAATTAATAAGAAGTCTTTGCTCCCCAACATTGGACAGTCTGACACATCAGACACAGTGAAAAGCTCAAGAGAGATGGCAGTGAGATGAAATAAAAACAGAACATGCTGGAGAGGTGCAACAGCTCTGGCAGCATCTGTGCAGAAAGATACAGATTAGATGTTTTAAGTTCAAATTCACTCAACTTTGGAAAAGACTAGCTGAGTTTCTCCATCATTTCCTGTTTTTTTTTATTTCAGATCTCTGATACCTGCAGTAATTTTCTTTTCTTTGATAGTGACGTGGAGCTTGTTGTCATCAACCTACAGGTGGCACCTAACACCCTTCTTTCAGATGATGTTGCCAAGCAGCCGCCTGTAGGTGAGAAATGGGGGGTGGTGGTCGGGGTCAAGAATAGATCCTTAAGGGGTTGGGGGTGTGCTCCAGAGGTACTGATCCTGGAGTGGGAAGAAATGTCATTGTGGGGGACTAGATAGTTATGCATTTGTTTTTGAATTCTATTTGAATTCCCAAATGAAAATTTGGCATAGCTGGCTTGAACTGTCTTAGTATATCCTGGGATACTTGGAATGTTAAATGTACTGTATATGGTTAGACTACAATATGTATTTGGAACACGCAGTCATTGCCCGAACGAACAATGTTACATTCAAACCCTGTTTTTGAAGCAGGCTCAGGTCTTAAACATTTTAAATCAGGCATGAAATGACAGTTGCTAAATTAATCATGTCATTATGAATGCTGTTAATATTTTAGACTTTCCAGTTCATTCCAACTTTTATTCTGGGCAGTCAAAATGTCAGTGCCCTGAAACATAAGAGTTGTGTGTGTGAGTGTGTGTGTGTCTGTTTGTGTGCGTATGTGTGTGTATTTGTACCTGTGTGTGTGTATGTGTGCATGTGTGTGTATTTGTATATGTGTGTGTGAGAGTGCATGTGTGTGTAATTGTATGTGTGTGTGTGTGTGTGAGTGTATGTGTGCATGTGTGTGTATTTGTGTCTGTGTGTGTGTGTTTTGGATTTCAGGTGAGCCAATGAGCTAATGGTATTATTGCTCGACAATTAATCCAGAAACTCAGCTAATGTTCTGGGGACCTGGGTTCAAATCCTGCCATGGGAGATGGTAGAATTTCAATTATAAAAAAAAACAAATCATGAATTATAGATGACCATGAAACCATTGTTGATTGTTGAGAAAAAACCCACCTGGCTCAGTAATATCTGTAGGGAATGAGATCTGTTGAACCTGGTCTGGCCTATATATGACTCCAGATCCACAGTTAACTCTCGACTGCCCTCTAAAATGGCTTAGTAAGTGACTCAGTTCAAAGACAACTAAGGATGGGCAATAAATGCTGGCCAGCCAGCGACACCCATATCCCAAAAGTGAATTAAAATAAAGAGCTTGTTTTGATCTAGTGATCATATAACCAACTGGAGAGATACCCGTTGTTTTCAAATGCCCAGTAGTAGCTGATTAAGTTCAACCAGCGCTTAGCTTGGCATTTAACTTGGCGTTGGCTTGGATGTGACTCTTGTACTGTACAGCATCTGAATTAGCTTTGCCAGGAGTACACCAGGAAAAGTTACTTGAAGTTAAAAAACATACAATTAACTTTGTACGGTGGCAGCATCGCAAATGATTGTGTTTGAATATACAATGAGCTTCTGCAAATGCAATGAATTTGAAACTTAGCACTATTGTAATACTACAATTGGAATTACTCATTTGAAGATAACAGAAAAGATAAAGCTCCCTAGTTAAACATTTCCAAAGGCAGATATTGTGAAGTCAGTGGGAGTTTACAATCCTTCCAGGAATAGCACAATATTGTGTAATGAGTGTCCTAAGCCGTGCCTCTACATCGTGTTGACACTTGGTTATTTGTTTTTATTCATGGAAATTATCACTGTCTAATGGAAGAAGTATACACAGAAGAGGATTGCAAACCCTTCATTGAATAACCAATGAACGGAGCCTGGAAAATACTGTTCCAACTATTTTCTGTGATTTTCCTAGTGGTGCAACCATGTACAGGAGCTGAATTCCATGGCACGAGAGTTGTTCCTGATAATTCCGACATTGCAGGTCAATACCAGGACGTTAATAATGAAGTAGAATGTAAGTTTGCATTTTCAGTTAAAAAATTATGCTTCCAAATCATTTAATTCTCTGAAATTCTAATGTTCTTAAATAGAACAAACAGCTCCATAACCTTTTTCTGCACTAAAAAGATCTTTTTAAAAATCCTAACTCAGAAATGGTTTGATTGTAAAGTTGATTAACTCAGTAGAGGAATACATTTCTCCTTACTGTTCCTAATGTCTGAGGTTTGGCTAGCCAGGAACAATGATCGCAAAATATTTAAAAACTGAAAGAACTGCAGATGCTGTAAATCAGAAGCAAAAACAAAAATTGCTGGAAAAGCTCAGTAGGGCTTGCAGCATCTGTCAGGAAGTTCTGAGGAACAATTCTTAGCAAAGGTCACTCGACCTGAAATGTTAACTCTGCTTTTCTAGCAAATTCTGTTTTTGTTTCTCACAAAAAAATTTGTTTGCTTCAAGCTGTTAAAAATTATTTCCTTGTGTAATCTGGTGAAATGAGTGATAGTGAAAATCCCTTTATTGTCTGTTAAGCTCTTGTACCTTGTACAAAATTTGAAGTAGAAAGAGGAAGGCTAGGAGAGATTATTCACAGAGTCAGAGGACATTGTATATCAGCTAATAGTGTCTGGTATTAGACCAAATAGTGGATATACCACAATACAGTAAGCTACCTAGGCTGCATAGATCATCAAAACATGAAAAGGTTTCTGTTCATCAGGGAAACCATTACTGATCTCTGTCATGTAATAAAACAAGACTAACAATGAAGTCCATCAATCTCCCTGTGATCAGCCTCAGTAAAATCATTCCCTTCAGTGTGTATCCTGCTAACCGTCTCCTTTGCCATCCACTTTATATTCTTTCAATTATTTGGTGGAGAGATATCACTCACATTTCAGAATTCTTGTCAATTTTTCACAATTTAGATAAAGATTATTTTAAAATGTGTTTCAATTTAAAACTGATTTTAAATAAGATTGTTTCTCAGTGCAGTTCAAACATAGTTTGTAGACACTAAGTTAACTAATTAATAGGCTAACTCATAACATTTTTTCAAGTTCAGATAGTGAGCAATGTGTTGTTTTCTTTTGGTATTTTTGGAACCACATTTCTCACAATTGTGTTGGATGGACTTACACTTTGATCTTTGTTGGTGAAGGGAAAGTTAAGAAAAACGGGGAGCTGAACCTTACACTTCAGAAAAGTGCCATTTTCATGGAATTTCGTGATGAGTTGCACCATTGTCGACAGGGCCTTCAACCAGGTCCGACACATCTCCCACATTTCCACCCTTACCCCTTCTCTTCCCTCCCGCAACAGCAACAGGGTTCCGAGATAACAAGGTGTAGAGCTGGATGAACACAGCAGGCCAAGCAGCATCAGAGGAGCAGGAAAGCTGACGTTTCGGGCCAAGACCCAATAAGGTTCCCTTTGTTCTTGCCACCAGCAGCCACATCCAGGAGATCATCAGACACCATTTCTGCCATCTCAAGTGAGATGCCACCACCAGACACATATTCCCCTCCCCTCCATTGTCCACCTTCCGCAGGGACCATTCCCTCTGGGACGCCCTGGTCCACTCTTCCTTCACTCCCAACACAATCCCCACAGTCCTACGGCACCTTCCCCTGCAGCAGACGAAGGTGTAACAATTGCCCACTTACCTCCTCCCTCCCCAGTATCCAAGGGCACAAACATACTTTCCAGGTGAAGCAACATTTTACCTGTACTTCCCAGAATCTAGTCTACTGCATTTGCTGCTCACAATGTGGTCTCCTTTACATTGGGGAAACGTAGCATAGACTAGGTGACCACTTCACAGATCATCCATGTTCTGCTTGCAAAAAAGACCCTGAGCTTCCAGTTGCCTTTCACTTTAACACACCGCCCCCATGTTCCCCAGCCAGCATCTCTGTCTCAGGCCTGCTGCAGTGTTCCAGCGAAGCTCAGTGCAAGCTGGAAGAACAACACCTCATTTTCCGCTTGGGGACCCTACAGCCCTCCAGGCTCAATATCGAATTCAATAATTTTAGGGCCTAAACTCTCCCATGTCCCAGCCCCCGATCCCAAACACATAGTCTGCCATTACACACTACCTATTGTTAGCCATTAACAGTCTCCATTAACAGCTATTCACCCTCCCAGCCGGATTGTTATCAACTCCTTTGTCTATCCGACTGCTCTTCTCTCTCTTTTTGGGCTCTATACCCACCTATCGCTTACTCCTTAACCCCTGCCCCCACCCTGTCTTCTGCATATAAACCAATATTTTCCTAGCTACCATCAATTATGAGGAAGGGTAATAGGACACAAAACTTTAATTCTGAGTTTCTCTTCACAAATGCTGCCAGACCTGCTGAGCTTTTCCAGCAATTTGTGTTTTTGTTCCCCCAGACTATTAACCCTGCACAGCCATTGCATCTCTTACTCACTGACTCACACCATCTCACCACCTCTCCCCCAGCTGCACTAATATTAACAGCTACATCACTCAGTTTATCCTATTCTTTCATTTCAGGAGTAAACATCCCACAGTAAGACAGAAAGAGCCAAGATAGATTGTGGCTTGCCTAAAATTTGACCACCCTATGAGGACTAGGCCAAGCAGCTGAATGACCTGTGCCCACACTGTTGGGCTGATATCAGATGCTGGCCATAACTTACTGTGCTGGGAGCCCTGCCTGAAGGGTATCTCCCTTGACTTGACTGAGGAATACTCCCCTTAGACTTTGGGGCATAGCCACTTGACTGAAGCACATGCAGTGTATTTGCTGTGTATGTTGTGGTATGTGGTTTAGGTGTGAGATTGATGTAGCAAGGTGATAAACATGTTTGTCCCCTTGACCCATGACTACTTGAAGACATGACTAGCTGACTGGCTTGGTGTCTGCACTGTGTATTGTGTGTCTGTTAGCTTTAGCTGAGGAGGCAAAATGTTAAAAGGCGAGGTAGGGATGCTATGAGCAACCACATAGGCGCTAAAGAAATAAGCGAGCAGCCCAGAGATGCAGCCAGGTCTAATCAGTGAGCTGGGTGATGCTCCTGCATGTAAAGTGCCAGAACTTAGTTGGTAAATGCAACTTGTTGCTCCAAAAGAGAAAGGTTTTGCTTGACTTATCATGCAATTCTCCCAAGTTTCTCACTATAGCTCTTGCCATTCAGGAAGATTCTGACCAAAGTTTTACTCGGCTTACTGTAGATTAGAGCAGTTCATGGTACAAACCAAACTTTTGCTTCATTGAACAACAACTCAACCTACTTTCAAAGTGCTTAGGAAAAAGACTGAAAGAAAAGATAAATGCCTCAATGGTACCAATTTCTGGTTTATATCACCTAAGAAACTATTGTTATGTCTAAAGGTTACGCCGTCATAAAAATAAATTTGAATAATATGAGTTATTGCTCATAAAATTGGTACTTAGAATGTTTGTATGTGCAACCAATGCCTTTGAATCCAGAAAGGTACCTGCAATAAACATGAATTCATAAGTCACTTGGTTTGGTGTGCATCACATATCATAATGCGAACAGATGCTTTATTTTGCTGCATGCATGACAATACAGATTTCCACAGTGAACCTCAGCAACATAAGCAGTAAAAATATTAGATGCACGATTCAAGGCGCTATTGTGTAATTCAATAGGAAAGAATTTTTCTCCATGAATGTGAAAATGGTACTTATTGAGAAAATCATGCATGCTCCTCTGATTCCTTCATTATCAGGTCTCATGCTAGCTGCAGTTCCTGAGAGGGGAACAAATGTTAGAATCTTCAGGAAGATCATTGTTAAAGAGTAATCATTGCTGATTATACTGTGATACAGCACATATAGCTGAGGAATGCAAGTCTGCACAGGGCATTTACATAACAGAAATTTGGTGAATTCAATTCACAATTGAGCTATGTGGAATTCTCATGGATTTCTTTAGTAAGGCCCAGAGAGGCTCACCAGTCACAGGATACAATGTACCAAAATTAATAATTTATCCCACAAAACATCACTTTGAATAGAGGTTTCATTGTGAAATCCGTTAAGAAAGCAGCATACAGCCAGTCAAGGTCAGGAAAACAATAATTCACCAGTCGTCAGACCAATATGATTTTCATTGCAAGTTCTTCTATTTGAGGCCTGTAAACATCCATTACAGCAATTATTTTCACTAATATACTGTATTCGATGTCCTATACACTTGTTTAGCTCTGTCATTGATGTTTGGTATGTAACCAGTCAAAATCTTTTCTGACAGATTCATTAAAAGGAACAATTGCACCATAAATTAACTCCTTCATCCCAGGATCAGTCAAGTTAACCTCTTCTGAACTGCTTACAATGTAATAATTTCCTTTCTTAAATAAAGAGATAGAAATAATACAGTAACACCACACGTTGTCTCATTGACGTACTATGTAACTGTGGCAAAACTTTCCTACTTTTGAGTCCAATTCCCTTACAATAATGTACAAAAAGCTCTTCATCCTTCAACCAATGGGAACAGATTTTTTTTCAATTCACACTATTCAAGTTCCTCATTATTTTGAATCTTTTTCTCACTTGTCTTCTCAGCCTTCTCTTCCCCAAGAAAAACAATTCCAACCGCTCCAATCTCAGTAACTGACATTCCTTATCCCCGGAACAATTTTTGTGAATCTTTTCTGCTCTCTCTTTAATTTCATCATATCTTTCCTGAAATGTGGCACCCAGAACTGGACATAATGTGAGAGTTATGGCTCTATCAATTTTCTGTACAAGTTTAATATAATATTTTTGCTTTTATACTGTATGCCCCTACTAATAAATGCTTTATTAACCACAGTCTCAGCTTGCCCTGTTTAATGATTTATGCACATACTTACCCAACCGAAACATCTTTGCATACATACCCTTCATTTTATATGTCTCTCCACACTCTTTGAACCAAAATGAATCATTCCATAATTATCCACTTTAAATTTTATCTTCCACTTGTCCATCCATTGCATCATCCTACGTATGTCCTTTTGAGGTTCACAGTACT